AAGGCAAGGCTTTGGGTTTTTATGTGGCTTCTATAACTCTATGGCTCCCTTTTTCTATCATCATCACCACAAATTTCTGTAAGTGGTTCAGTTCTCCCAAGGTCACCCTGCCGTTTTTACTGATATATACTTGCATATACACCGGGTTTCAGACCGCGCGAGATGGCTTTCCTTTCGCGATCTCAAGTCTGACAATAACTTCGACCGAGACACCAACAATCATCCAAACATAGTCCGCCTACAGCAACTCTTTGATTACCATGGCTTTCTGCGCCTAGACGGGAAATCCCATATACCCGTTCTAATTGACGATATGAGCATTGGCGTATTGCACAAGTTGTTGACGATGAAGTGCGACGAGGTAATTTTCTTCAGTTACCCAAAAGCAGTCATTTATGGTCATTTGCAAGCTAACCCCAATCAAATCTAGCCAACTATATATTACTTGCGAAAGATCAAAGATACTTTCTACGAAATGGCGGGAGAAAATCATGGTATCATGGCTGCCAATAGTGAAACAACAAAGATCAAATCACGGGCACCGAAGGTTTCCAAGAAAGATCTTGAATTTTTAGAAGAGGGAATGAATAACAAAGATCTATTCCCTGCTATCGTGGCTCCTGAGGATCGTCGAATTTTCCAATCCCCACCTTGGAAACCTTCAGGGCATACTATATCTGGATGTATGTGAAAGTGCCATGCGGCAATCATGTATAAATCTGCCTAATCGGAAAGTCAAGCGAAAGAGAAACAACGAGGAAGAAGACAGCGAGCAGGTAGAAACTTGTACCATTGACGAAATTCTGGGAAGCCAAGCGGGTTTAGAAAATCCTGCTAAAACAGCAGCATTGACTTGTGATTTTGTGTATTCGCGCGTTTATCCTGTTTTATTGATAGCCAGAGAGTTCCATACCATTGAAATCAATCATACTTGAGCCGTGTTGTACAGGCAGATCTCTATCATAGCTCTTAGGCGTTGACAAGTCCCGCAGCACTTGGTTCGGTACTGCAGCACTGTAAACAGTGCAAACACGACTAATGTATTAAGATATCACCTTATGAACCGGCTTACTGAAATTGATATCTACCTCTCCATGTGCATAGAAACTTTACTGTGCTCGGCGAGGTATGATCGTACATTTGTGGCGCTACCCATCTCCTTTTCTTTTGCAATATCATGCCGCCTAGTTGCTTCTCGTGTTTGCAATGGTGTTTCGATGTATATCTGCTTATTCCTTGAGAGACGCCTCCAATCCTAGAGCATTCCTCAAAAAAGTAGTATAGTCCCGAGAATGAAAGTCCATTGGTCCGAGGGAGCTCCACAGCTCGGGTTTTCAACCAAACTGGCTCATCAGGCGGAAGTAAAACGAGCGAGAGATCTCTTGTTAATGGCTTCATTCGCGAAGTGGGCAACATCAACAACCCTGCAGCAAAGACGTTGACAAGCAGGCTCGGGCGCATTGTCTCCTTTCGACCTCCAGTCCGACAAAGTCCATGACACAATCGAGTCATTGGAGAGGGTAGTGATCTTCGCTCTGGCAGAAGGACGCAGTTCGGCTCAGGTGAGGGGTTGCGCAAGGTCATCCAAATCCGCAGGGAAGAAACTTGTTTTGCGGAACAACGCACTTGGTCAAATGCAAGGGTATAATAATATTTAGTAGATGGGTTGATAGTCTCAAAACTAAACAGAGAGGAATGGAATTTCCAATCCCGTCAACAAAAGTGGTATCAAAACAGGATTAACCAGCGTAGCTCGTCGACTTCATAACAATATTAGTCCTGGTAATTTCCAGTCCCAGGTCATCTCGGATGACACTTCCCCTACATAATATGAACCTATATAGAGATCTCACGGTCAAAATCAAAACAGAGATCCCAGCAACGACACATAGGACTAGCCCCTTCAGACTATAGTCAGATGCTACCATCATGTTCTGGATTGGGTATTCAGGATTCTAATCTTGACGACACATAGAGCGCGTAGAAACTCAGAAACCGGGATGGGCAAGGCATCGAATATCATACATTGCCGTGCATAGTAAGGCATAAAGCCAGCTGGTGCTTGTGCTAGCACGAGTTTGCACAGTCACATATTCCGATCTCAGTAACTTGATGGCCGACATCATCCTCTTAACATGATATGTTAGGTATGTGTCGGTCCAATCTGAACTCCTAGGCTACCATCAGGCCAGGCGTTCTGGATATTAGGTGTGTTGGAGGCATTAATATCGTAAGCAGGGTTTTCGCCGACTGCATTGCTACTACTACCAACACCATTCTGAGGAGTAGGCCCAGCGTGTCTTGGGACATTGCCAGGATTCGGTACAGCATGATGGGTCATGTAGCTGGCACCGGTGACATTGCCCTGGTTTGGGAAAAAGCTCTGATTCAGTGACCCGCAGGTTGTGCAGGTGAATTCAATCTTGAAATTGGTAAGAACCATCTGGGGGACGCCATCGTGATCACTGCGATTGGAGTAGTCTTTCGGGGGACCAACCACTCCTACTGGTAAAGTACCAGCGGTCGGGTATTCAACTCCTGATTGTGGTATAGTCATTTGATGTTGGTTGTGATTGAAAGAGGGTTGATTTTGTGTGGGAATCGGTACGTGTTGTACCTGGGGTGGAGGTGGCAGTGCTTGGGTACTAGATGGTGGAGCGGGTACGTGGTTGTTTGAGGTCTCGTGTGGAGACATGTTATCATCATCAATCAGTGATGGTTGGAGATGCTCTGGAAGCCAGCGGTTCTCGGATATCTCCCCAAATACGTCTGCCACTTCTCCTTGCGATTCGGGGGATTCCCCGGGCGACTGCTGATCCTCTCCACTAATATCGATATCCAGCCCCTGTTCATCCTGGTCCTCGCCATGCCGCGGTTGAAGTTTGGTAAGCGCTCGCTGTGCCTGGCGCATGGAGATGTCATACCCGTGGTAGCGTTTCACAGCATCCACGACATCCTGGGCTCGTATTTTCGACTTCATATCGAAAAGCTTCGGGATCTCGCTCAGCAGAAATCTCACATGGGAAGCCTCAGAGCGAGCGGGCGTCGCCGCAGGGGAATTTGCACTCCGGCGACAACTATGACTGTCTTGAAGACTGGTGATGTAGGTCGCATTTTTGTTTGAGCGACAGACCACACGAAAGAAGCAAGTTGCTGATGATCGACATCCGATAACTACACTCTTCTTGTTGCTTCTGGCCACACGGAGCTCCCAGTGCTGCCTGACTGATATACTCCGTACCACTGTTTTGAACTCTTCCAGAGAGCAAAACCGCTGGCCCACATGGAGGCCGGAGTACATCTCAGTCATAGTGACGAGACCGAGGCAAGTACAGGGGATACAACGATATTAGCAGCTAGGACGGCAGTCACAGAGTCTTGAGCGACAAAGTCCATCGGGCCTCTGGTTGTGGCTTCACCAGGCCGTGCTTGCAAACAGCTTTGGATTGCGGAGTACGGGGTGATCCTTAAGCAAGCACGCGAGAGATTCTGTGTAGGTTTGAATTGGTCTCTAGCCAAAAGGCCTTGTAGGCTATAATTAAATTGTGTAAACCAATGTCGATTATCTTGTTAGGCGGCACAGCTGATTGTTGAAGAATAGCCATTAAATTCTGGGGGTCAATAAAGGTTTAAGGCGGGAAGTTCAAAGTGCCAGACCGCTCGGCTTCACTTTTCATCCTCCCCACTTCGATCGCCTTGAAGTCGCGCACAATTTCAATATATTCTGTGCTATTAGCCTTTAGAATCTAAGCAGATACACAAGATGGCTTCTTACGGGCTGCTGGGCCAGCCAGAAGAAGGTCGAGTCCACTCCAGCTCTGTCCTCGCAGGTCAATTGTTAACACCCCAGCTCTTACAGATGCACTCCACAAGTCGCGTCTACTCAACGTCGAAGAAAAACCATTCAAGCGAATTTCAAAACGACTATTAAACCCCTCATCCCTCATTGTCTCACAATCCCCCCTCCCTCTCACTCCTCCCCCTGAAGAAACCGACGCCGACTCCGATGCGACCGCAACAGAAGCCGAGAAACAAAAAAGGCTCGAAGAATGGCGCCACTTCCGCGAGGATGTCTCACTCGACTTTGCCGCCTTCGAGGGCAGCATTGCGCGCATCCAGTTCCTTCTTACCAGCAATGAGCAAGAACGCCAGCGATATGCCACGGAGCGAGTTCAGATTCTGTCGACAATGCAGTCTGTACGGGAAAGCACGACCGATCTACGCAGTCAACTTGAAGAAGCACAGCGACTTCTTTCCCTGCGAAAGACCTACGATGAATTGACCGACAAAATCACGAGCAACCGCCTACTCAAGCCCCGCGAAGACCAGTCAGCGAACCTTCAAAAATTACGACTAGAGATTGCAGATCTCGAGAAGGAAAGCAAGGATTATGCCATGACCTGGGCTGAGCGACGCGAGCAGTTCGGTCGTATCGTGGACGAGGGCATGCAGCTTCGTCGCCTAATCCGCGACGAGAAAGAGGAAGTCGAGCGCCGGGAAGGCATGCAGGATGGCGCAGATGGTGACGAGGGAGACGCCACATCCAAGGGCAAGGCTAGTAGTGGGAACACTCCTGGTCCTGAAACCGATGCCATGACCCCCTCTCAACACAGCCAAGATGAGGTCGGTCGACCATCTGCTCTACATGTTGAGAGGACCGGGGTTTCCGGTGCTGCGTCGCCTTTGCAGCAAGTCACAGCCGCCCAGATTGATGGGGCAGGATCTAGTCGGGAAGACACCAATATGATCGATGAAGGTGAAATCTCTACAATTAGTGATGGCGAATTATCCGAGCTCGAGGAAGGAGAGGAACTCCCTGATGACTTCAACGGGAAGATGGATACTACCTGAAGATTCATTTCGGCGTGTACATTACTAGCACTAGCAAGGAGTTCCGGTTTATGGTCTGGCGTTGGGTACGGCTTCAATTTATCGGATAATATTATGGAATCTTCCACCTAATGGGTATTTTTTTAGGCTTGATGTTATCGACATCTCCTTCACGAGATCTCACGCTCTGCGGTCTTAGCTTGGGCAATGGCTTCTTTGCCAGCGGTAATATGCTCAACGTTGCTGTCCATTCCCTTCTTGCCCTCCTCAATCTATCAGAATTGGTTAATGGAATCCAAGAATACAGATAAATGGTAGAAAGCGGATGTTACACTCACAATCAGAGCTTCCAGGTTCGCAACAGCCTGCACAATCTTCTCCTTCAGCGTAGGCAGAACCTTTTTAGTCTCTTCAAGAGACATGTGCTACCATTCATGTCAGTATTAAAGGTTTCAAAAATATCGGCAAGACGATTTGGTAGAAGCAAAGCTTCCGTACGAGACACATACCTCTTGTTTCAGAGTATACTCGCGGTTCTCGTCGTCACCAGTGGTATCAGCCTCCAGCTTCTTGATACGCTCGGCCTGCTGCAGAAGCTCCTTGTGATAAGAAGCTTCCTCCTTGACCAGGCGGATCACGGAGGAAGTAGCGATCTCTAGCTGCGTGCGGGGTGCCATTGTGATTATCTGTGAGAGAGTTAGACGTGTCTGAGACTTTGACTCCGAGTCTCGAATAAGACTGCCCAGAAGAACTGCCATATGACAGGAAGGGTGTCGTCTAATTAACACTATTGGAAGTCTATATCCAGAACTCAGAATGCCCGAATGATAGCTGTACAGCTAGCATTGCTGTTTCAAGCTACTGTGTATATAGACGGGGATCATGGCAGAATAAAATAGCAAAGAGGACATACCCGTGGATTTTGTATGTGACAACAGAATTGAGTGATATGCTGAATTGATTTTCGATTTCTTAAAGTTCATTGATATGCCCCTCGATGATGCTATCAAGACGATGTTTGCATTGTTTGCTTCTCAAGTGGGGCATCACGTGCTTACAATTATAAGTTCCAAAAAGACGGAGGAAGAATCCGAAACGGAAGATGAATGGAAGAAGCCGTTGAAACATAAAATGCTGCTTCAAAACCAATAGAGCTCATATTCATTATTCCAGCTTCCAACACTTTGTTACTTTAGAGCAGTTGTCATTATGGCTGATGTAGCAAAAATGAACTCTAAAATCCTCAAGTAAATAATGAAGCTCAGTCCTCACATCAGCAGATATTTAATCATACAAATATCAGATCAACACTACCTGCTCCTTGGTCTCCATAACTATCCACATGAAACATTAGACCAAAGAGCATTGAATAAAGCATTGAATAAAGCATTGAATCCATGGAGTCTCAGCCAGCCAATCAGCGTTAGCCAGTCGAGACCGCGTGATCATCCATTTATTTAAAGCCCGAGACTCCTACCATCTACGGCCACGAGAATAGCTTCGCATCCAGCACCTTTTATCTGTCCTTTGTTCTCTTATAAGCGACTTTCGTCTGTGCTTTGTTATATATTCATTGCTTTCACCCCATGTCGCACATCTTATGGTACCCAATTCGGCTTGAACCATTGCCATCATAAAGATGCCGGCCTCATCACTGCTTCACCAGGCCACGGCCACGGCTATCCGCTTTGTCAAAGGTATGGGCTAAATGAACTATATCCTTTTAGATGCAAACTAACCGTGTGGTTTTCAGACCTGGATGATCTGGGCGCGATGCCATACTCACTTGCCCGCCCTATCTTGCTTAATATCCATAACCCCGAAAAGCTGGTACGTGTTCCTAACTCTCACTTCCTATTACTTCACTTGAACTTCATTTATAGTTTCAAACTCACTTACTGACATTATTCTTTCTAAATTTGCAGCATGCCATGGAGCTGGCATCCCCCCATCTCGCCGAAGAAGACGAAGAACTCTGGCTTGAGCTCATTAAACGGGACATTCCCGATTGGGAGAAGTATGAACTCCCGGGAAATACCAACAACTGGTACGGGGTGTACTGTGATCTCCGCGACCAAGTCCAACGTTCTCTTGACGCCGATGCCGAGAGAATGAAGATGGCAATTGATGGCATTAGTGCCAAGCGTGCACTCCTCACTCCCAAGCTCATCCCTGAGGGCAAGGGCTTGTGCATGGCTGGATCCCGACCCTCCGTGCGACAACGCCATGCTACATATGATCGTAGGCTGGTCGGCCATGACAAGAAGCCCAGTATATTCCAGCCGCAGAAGCGCAACACCGCACTAGCAATGCCGACCAAGTCTCTCAACAACCGTGCGTCGCAAGTCAAACGCGCACCGATCGGGTTGGTTGAAGAACACCGCCGCCCCGCCGAGCAGTCGGCACCACAGCCGATGTCAAAGCCGCAACCACTTGCTCCACGTATCAGCCGCCCTAGCATGCTTCCACACTCCCCCATGCTGGCCCGCAATGAGGCGCGACTACGCGCACTAACTTCTACCGCCTCCTCCTCCTCACCTTCACCCCGTGGCGCATCTAGCAGCGATGCGCCTAGCGCAAAGAAATCACCAGCTGTGGCCACTGAGCCCAAGCTGAAGCGCCGTGCAACCTCCCCCCCTCGTGGTGCAGAGGCATCCACTTCTTCCTCATCATCATCACTCCCCGCCCCTCCCATCCCTTCTCTCCCCTCCTCCCGCTCGCCTTCCTCCGGGCCTCCTCCGCCCCGCCCGGGCGTCATTCGTCGACGCCCGGCGCCGAGCATTTTCATGCCGGCAAAGCGACGACATTTGTCGTGATCTTCGGATCAACTTTTTGCGATTTTCGGGGTCTCTAGAAGAAGGCCTTCTACATATTTACCTATATATGAGACATAGATAGCTCACTGTTTTCTGTCAGCTTGGAGTTTGAGATTGGTCTGATACCCGAGGTGGGATGCACCTCACTTGCAATTCATTTCACGTTGATTTTTAACTTCTATCCCTAAATCCGGTTCTGTCTGTAAGATTGATACGGGCTCTGTTTTTGTAATGCGAAAGACTCGGACGTACATACCTTATGGCGTTACGAACCTCAGTTAGCTGAGCTGGGTTTATTATTTTAGCCCCATCTCTTGGTGCTTCATACAAAAACGTACTCAGCGGTGCTAGTCGCATTATATCTCCCGCGGGATTGCGCTCCACTAAAGTAGACATATGCAACATCCAAAGCCTGGAAATAGGGTCGGGATGGTAAAGGAACGCCAAGCCAATTCAGAAAAGAGCATTATTCCCTTGAGGAAAAGGGACGTTAATATAAAACGATTCAATCCAGGACACCTGCCTCGCCATTACCTCAAATCCTATCGCTCCGCCGCGGTCCCCGCAGCTCGAATCCTCGCAAAATGGGCCGGATGGACAATCACTAGTGTTCCTCCACTGATTCACATTGCTACAGAAATATGGTATCTAAAAATGACAAAAAGCGATTACAACGACATCGCAGCACATCCTCCACGCAGAGCAAGCACGAGATGGAGCGTGGCGCCACCTTCGAGGTTATATTCTGAGGCTGTCTTGTCATCGGCCCTGTTGGTAACAAGTTGTTAGCTTAAATGTGTTTTGATAATAATAGAAATGCAATGAAGATAACTCAGAGAGTAGTTTCTTACATCTGCTTGCCACCAAAGATGAGTCGCTGCTGGACAGGGGGAATTCCCTCCTTTTCCTCGACACGCTCCTTTATCCGGGAGACCTATATAGAGCGATCCATATCAGTATAAGCGCATTCAGAGAGCGTGGATATAGCGGTGCTTGTGGGTGTGGTTTCAGTCGACGGGTAGAATGTTCCGTGCGGGGGGAGCCGGAAACGCGTCGAGGCTGGCGGGTGATTTACCTTGTAGTCAGGCTCGATATCGAGCTCGATCTCCTTGCCGGTCAGTGTTCGGACCCTGTTTGAACGCGAAATATCAGCTTGCGGCTCTGGGGGTGACCTTTCCCAAGTTCGGGGTCATGCGATGATGCAATGGGGAGGTCATGCTAGAGCTCAGAAACGCACTTGATCAACATATTGAAATGACGGTGGCTTTTTCAATTTGGATAGTAATGGAGCAAGGTATGTGTCGGAATGTAGTTGGACAGCTCTTGTCAATGACTTGGAGAGAAGATGTGAACCCGGCGGGGTTTTGGTGGGGGCCTGTGGCCTTATTGCCTGATCGTGTCGGAGCCTCACTTTCACTTTGACTTGCGACAATGTATATGTAGTTTAGAAAACACTGTAATTAGAAATTTTAAGGACGATAGGATATATTACTATGATTTTATTGTAATTCTAACAGTAAACTCTTGAGATAGCATGTTTTGAAAATGAGTTGTCCCTTGGGGTTCAACAATATATAATGGACTACTTGGAATATAATTGACATATTGGAAAGAATAAAACAATTAAAATGCTATTTTTTGACCGATAGTTGGTCCAAGCACTATATTCATTCCTCTATCTACCACTACCTGATAGCTAGGAAGTAGATAGTATAAAACCTCTCATTTGTGTACAGTTTTACCCCATCTACCCCGCTAAAACCCTTGACCTAGAATAGAATCAGTCAATTTGAGTCTAAACTCAAACAACATGGCCAATGAACCAGCGCATGTACCAGCTGAGAATCAGTTCCAGCAATTGATCACTCGTTCTGAGAATGACCCGGTAAGCTCGCGTTGTTAATTGTGAATAGCTAAATGCTGAGAGTCCCATCCAGAAACAACTGCAAATCGTTTATGAGACCCATAGAAGCAACAGAAATGCCTCTTTCAGAAACCAAATCTGCCAACCTGGATTCTGCGAATGGAAAGAAGATGAGATCCTGTCCAAAGTTCTTGAGGCAGAGAAGGGGTTGATAGACTTCGCCGACCCGAGACACAACCTTGCCTTTTGGGCACGCCCGCCGCAGCATATCCAGGACTTAGTCTACAAGATTCAGCAGGAGATTGGTCCCTTCATTGGACCTGGTGCGTGCTACAGATGATCTGGGCAAAATGTAGAGAGACTGTACTAAATGTGATCCTACAATATAGGTCTCTGGCTCGTACCCCCGGATCATCTGCACATGACCACACTCGAGATCAGGTCTTCATTGACAGGGCCTGAAATCGATGAGATCGCCTCTTATCTTGAGATGAGTGGGTTCGTAGCAGAGCTGGCAAACTACACTCTCACCCACCGTGCTCGGCTGGTCAAGCCAGTAATCAGCTATGACACTTCTGCTATCGCCCTGAGTTTTGTTCCTGCAGCTGGAGAGGAAGATCACCTTGAGTACAGTGGGAAAGATGACCAGTTTACGTATCATCATCTGCGGAGTGATCTCTACAACATCGTAACTCAATCTGGCTGTCCAATCGCGGCCAGGTATACCGTTCCGTCTGCACATATCACTATTGGGCGCTTTATTGCGCCCAGTGACCCCCAGAAAAGAGAATCAGATCCCCCAACGAAATTCGAGAAGAAAGCATCGCAACTTGTTGATAAGATCGAGGATCTCAATCATGAACTCCGCTCAAATGTGTGGAGGAGATTGGGGGACCCATCTCAAGGAGAATGGGTGATAGGTCATGAAAAGGGGTTGGAATTGATGAAGGGCCAAACATGGTATGGAGTAGGGGATAGTCTCATTCTTGGAGAAGGATTTGTATAACAGAATACACTATATGTGCTACGAATCAACTTCAAACACTTTCAGAGATCAGTGATGCCAAGAATGCCTCAGGCATAAACTTTATGAGTGACTCAGCATAACCTTCTTGGCGACTCCTAAAATGGTTAGCGTCCACCCGATAGGGCCTAAGCGAGTGAAATCCCACAACCCAACAATCGCACTTGCTCTCCTCCGACAAGCGACAATCCAACGACCACCACCCAGCTATCCGGCCAAGTCAGTCAAAATGGTAAGGATATCACCCTACGAGATATGTCAAAGTGTTCTGCCAGCCCCGGCCATTCGAAATTCCTCGAGTCGTGGAGAGATTGTGAGATGTCCACTGTGCGGCCGACCTCGAAATCGTCAAATCCGCCGACCGTCGCGAATCACCACACTATGAATCACCCAACCGCCTGTTTTTCACCGGATTCTCGCAGCATGCAATATGGAAGTCGGCATTGAAGAGAGGATGTGTGACGAAACCTGCAATAACAACATTTGGTGACGAAATCGAGGATTCGAGAAGCAGACCACAATGGATGCACTCTGCGGTCCTTTTGAATCCCAAATATTCAACCACGCTTCCTGCTCCATGAAAACTACGACCCGGACAACGCGACCGATCTCTTTGCGACCACACTAATTTCGAATCGGATTTCGGGGCACGAATCACATTGACATTGATCTTGGAAAAATCAGATCAAAAGACAAAGCTCATGACATCTTTCCGCACAGGTCAACATTCCCAAAACCCGCCGGACGTACTGCAAGTCCAAGGAGTGCCACAAGCACCAACAGCACAAGGTCACCCAGTACAAGGCTGGCAAGGTTAGTGCCCTCGACACTGGAATGCTCGTCGTGAGCCATTGCTGATGTTCTCTTTTTGTGATTTAGGCCTCCCTCTTCGCCCAGGGTAAGCGCCGTTACGACCGGAAGCAGAGTGGTTACGGTGGTCAGACCAAGCCCGTCTTCCACAAGAAGGCCAAGACCACCAAGAAGGTCGTCCTGCGTCTCGAGTGCACTGCTTGCAAGGCCAAGAAGCAGCTCGCCCTGAAGCGCTGCAAGCACTTCGAGCTGGGGTATGTTGCACCTGCACATTCTATTATGGTATCCAGTACTGACGTATCTCTTTCTATAGTGGTGACAAGAAGACCAAGGGTGCTGCCCTCGTTTTCTAGATTGTTCAATTTCCTTGTTCGGCTTCTGGGTTTCCTGCATTGCACAAAGTGCTTCGCTGTTTTTGCGGAGCATATATGACATTGGCAATGGAAAAATGAAATAGGAATTCATCTATTCAAAAACACCATCTATGACTACCGGATTACGAGTCTTTGAATGATTATTCTTGCTTCACAGTAGAGCTAGTAGCTGCCAACATCGTAGCATATCGCATCTCATGCCATGCTGTCCATGCTCTGATTTTCACTCCAATGTCCCCTACGTAGAGTTCTCGACTGTCAAAGAGTGGGTTATATGCCCCAGTTATTGCCAAGACATCGTATACATCCTTATGGGTCCACTTATACCAGTGGAGTGTCTCGTGAGACTCGAAGTCATGCCATTCATTCATTTCTTTTATTTCATTTACCCCCACACTACCAGATTAGTGACGGCCCATCAAAAAGATATTTCGAGGCGGTCACCAACGGACTACATCATACTCTGGTGTAAACTTGGCACAATCATCGGGGTCTTTCCGAGCACCTGAGAACATTCGAAGGACCTCCGATATAAGATATTTTGTCCCTTCGGACATCAACCATATTTCAGTCCACGTATATTCCCCAAAGAAGCAAACATACCAGAACACAGTAAAACAGCGCCGAATTAAGTCAAGAAAACAACGCCAAGACTCCCAGCGTGGGGGTGAAGCGAATGTAAGATGTCCTAAACTGGCCCGTCTGAATTGATTTCCAATGTATTGGATCGATACGACAACTCGAGGATCTTTACGCTGAAGAGCATACGTGGAGCACGGAATGACATACCCCGAGAACCCCGCATTCCCTTTCACGGGATATCTTACGAGGCTAAAAGACTCCCAAATAAGATTTCTTGTGGGGTCTCGTATCAAAGGCCTACCCCAGCCCCTCGCTTCCCCAGGAATCGTTCTCTCGGCTCTCCTCC